TTATATATATATATATATATATATATATATATAATTTGTGCTGAATCGTTTTGCGAATTCAAAACTTTCACTTAGTGTATCAAAAAATAGTGGTGAAAATGTGCAAGCCTGAATGCCCAGCATTGCAATTTTGCTGTTTTTCCAAACTGTATATTAAACGTAATGGTTTTTACAACTAATGGCTTCCTAAAGACATGTTAAAGGGTAAAGAAATACTAGGCTATATCATGAATATCAATGCTTTGGTCTCTGAGATTTAAACACGCTGAATATTTTCTGTTCTGAATGTGCATTTTTTTCAGTCAGTAATATTTCCTAGGTCTCTAGAGATCTAGCAAGAGTTTTGTTTGTGCAGTCAGTGTGTCCTGCATACTGTATCCCTCCCACCTTTTTCTGCACTGCAGAGGAAACCCCAAACACTGCTACTACTATTGATTCTCTGAGTGCGCTAGAGACGGTTAGACGGAGGGACGCACTTATAATTTGGTCCATTGTTACTTCAGCTCTGCTGCACCTTTTCAAAATGCCTGATGATAGTTTACTAAAATACATTCTGATTCTCATTTTCAGCTCTTTTACTTTTAAACAGAATGCGAATACTGCTTAATGAAATGATTGTTCTGCAGAAGTTATCAAATCCAAGTAGATGCATCCCTCTCAACCATGCAACATTATTAATATTCAGGCCGACAGCAATAAGCTGATTATTATTTTCATGTTATGGCTGATAACATTCTATGCTGTTTTGTGTAAACGAATAAAATGCAAATCTAAATGCAAAAAAACAAGCATGCATAAACATCCAGTATCAGTCAGTACTGCTGTTATGGTACCGATATATCATGCATTCCTATTATGTTTGTACTTGACTCTTTCTATGAACTGCATTAAAGTGTTAAAGTGACAAGCGTTTCTTTAATGCTTTACATTTTACTTAAGCAGTACAATTGTAAGCTGTTGATTTTAAAGGGATTGAGATGATGTGCTCTTGTGCAGGTCGAGCTTCTGCGTCTCCGTCTCTAGACGTCCTCATTACGCTGCTCACACTGGGAGCCAACGGCTACAAGAAACTCTTGGCTGAGAGAAAGGTGAAACAACATTTTTGAAACTCAATATTTTTCATAACATCTAATTATGGCTGTATGGTATTAGTATAAATGTAGTATTGTTTATAGACTTTTGTAGTTTTAATTAATATTTTGAATTAGCTTTTAAAAATATTTATATATATATATACACACACACTCTCGGTACTTGCTCTGCCGCAGCAGCAGCAGCAGATCTATTCCGCCAAGACCAAATACATTAACATTGTCACGTACATTACCATGCCAAACCCTCCAAGAGTTGTCATGACAGAAATGTTTATATTTTTAATTAGCTTTTATTTTTATATTTTAAGTTTTCATTTTAATTTTAGTTTAATTTTTAATAATTTTGTAATGTGCTTTTGTCATTTTTATTAGGTTTTTTAAGACTTCTAAATTGTTTTAATTAATTAATAAATTATTAGTTTATTTCAGTTAGTAATTTTAGTACTATTTCATCTGGTATTTTCAATGTAATTATGGCAAAGCTGCTTATTTCCATACTATTTTGTTAATAAAAATGGGAGTGTTGAAATATTAAATTAACCACAATTCATTTTGTGATTCCAGAAATTTCAACAACTATGTTCCTGGATAAAAAATATATATATATATATTTTTTTTTTTAGGGGAAAGAAAATGAAAATTTACATTTTGGTTTTGTGTGTCTTTTAGCATTTCAGTTAAGTTAGATTATTTAATTTAAGTAATTGTAAGTCATTCTGCGGCCCCGTTGGAGGTTTACTGAGGCCCCTGGTTGAGAACCGCAGGTATAGAGGCAGGTGGGCACATTATCCCAATGAGACTCCAGTACATGCAGGAAAACACCATTAGCCATCATGTGATAAGAAACTTACAGAGCTTATTGATTTACCACTAATGCATCCGGATTGTTAATAATTTACGTTCTTTGTTGACTAGATAAGATGTTCTCTGTGGTCAGAGTCAGTTTCTAATATGTTTTAGCCAAAGGAGAATGAATCACTGGACTGTAACCTTGTGAAAAAGAAGTACATTTTAGCATACTTTTAAAAAGAGTACTAGAGAAATAATATATTTTAAAAGAATATACTTAAATGTGAACTGAATGCATTGTTTTCAGACACTTAATTGCATGCTAAAATGTATTATAGTATAAATGTATATTAAATGCATTTAGTTGAACTTTATAGTGTTTTTGACCCACTTAAACAGCACAATATGTAAGATTTTTTTATTAAAATATCCAAAAACCATTAGAACGGTGTTATATATTTTGCTGACTTGTGTACTTACATTATCCCAAATGTTTCGAAGAATGTTTAAATCCAGAGAAATAAGCAATTTTAACTAGTGACACGGACCGTGTCCATAGTGTCATTCTAAAATTACTTAGTATTTTAGTCAACATTTGTTATTATTTAAAATGTATTTAAAGTAAAACTTTTAATGCGATATTACAAAGTGCACTTAAACGTTTACTTAAGTGTTTACTTAAGTCATGAACGTGTCTCTCTCTTTAACGACACTTAAGTGGCTATTTATTTCATTACCATTACATCTGCACATTTTATTTAAAAAAAAAAAAACTACTTTTAAGATTTGATGTACACTACAAGTGCACAGTGCACATTCAATACAATTAAGCGCACTTCATTTTTACAAGGATTTTACACTAGGTTAACAGTATTTGTACTTTTTGCTAAATTTGTTGCCACAATTTAAGAGTATTGTGGGTGGTTGCTAGGGTGTTACTATTTGGTTGCTAGGGTTTTCCAACGGGATGCTAGGATGAATTACATTTGCATAATGTGAGCTTCTGGATATTATGAAGCAGGTTATTGTCTCTGCGTTTTCATACTGTAGATCTCAGATGTCTTACTAACAGCATCATAATAGGGGCCCATAACCCGAGGGCCTCCTACAGTTCATTTGTAATTGATCTCAGGGGTGGATGCAGCTCTGCCAACACAGCTGATTATGTGATGCAATCACATTAAAGCTTCAGATGGGAAAGCAGGCTGCAGATCGCATCTGCGTCTGGAGAGGAGAAGGGTAGGGTGGCTGGAGAGGGAAGCAGGTGCTGGGTTTACTGTAGGCCAACACACACAGAAATGCAACATTAGCAGAAAACAGAATGTACGACAGAAAAAAGCTGTGTAGAGTGGAGAGCTATTTATAACTGGAGTTGTGTACGGCCCGCAGGAGCTGTATGGTCACCTGGCGCAGGAGCTGAGCGCTCTAGCCGAGAGACACGGGGAGAGACTGCTGCATACGCCACACAATCCAATATCACTGGGTGAGAAGTCATGCATAGTGCAATGTCATATGAGAAAGAGTTCAATAACAGTTCAATAAACAAGGATTTCATGAGTAAATTTTCTGTGTAAATAAAAATGTTTCTAAAAAATAGTTTTTGCATGTCACCCGAGAGGTCAGGGTTTGGCTGGTGAGCATGAGTCTGTTAGTCCCTGCTGGCAGATCCCATAACTACACCATCTGGCTACGCAGAGCATCTTTCTCTATTGACGACCGTTCAAACATGGTCATGTATTTTGACTAAATATTTATGTTTTCATTTGCAAGCAATGTTTAAAATGCATTTTTTTTTTCTTTTCAATTTCAGTGTGAAAAAGTGTCCCACTTGGGACTATGAGCAATCTTGGGGTGCCATCAACCAATCACCCTTGTAAAAAAGAAGTGCACTTAATTGTGTTTAATGTGCGCTTGTAGCGTGCTTCAAAACTTGAAAGTACATATTTTAAAAACTACTTCCAGATAATATATTATTAATGAAATAAAAGGCCACTTAAGTGACTTAAAGAGAGACACTTTTATGACTGTTTCTTAACACACTTAAGTACACTTTTAAAAAAGTAAAATTGAAAGTTTTACTTTAAAGTGCATTTTAAATCATTGTTTTAATACTCAATGTCATGTTTTAAAGAAGCACACTTATTTTGATGTGTTGACTAACATACTAAAGCACATGTAAAGTACTTGATTATAATTTGAACCATAGTGTGTTATTCAGTATTACATGTAAAGTTAATATATTTTAAATGTTCTAAATTGCAACTTCTTCATTACAGATGTGTAATTACAAACATGCATACAAGTTTCAATAGAAATGACATTAAAGTATATTTTAGTTTCCATAAATGCTTGACAGTACATTCATCAGTACTTTAACCATATTTCAAAGACAATAGAAATAATTATGAAATTATATATAAAGATGTACTTAAGTCCTACTTAAGTGGGTCAAGAAAGCTTTCTAAGGTGCAGCTAATTGCATTAATACAAATTTAAACTATAATACATTTCTATTTAATTTCAATTAACATGCAATTAAGTGTCTGAAAACATTACATTCAGTTCACACTTAAGTATATGCTATTAAAATATATTATTTCTGTAATAAATATGGATGCGGAAGTGTTCTTCTTTTTCACAAGGACAGCATTTTTTTTGCAGCTCCAGAGATTTTAGTCACATGATCACATGTATAAATGCCTAATATTTAATGCTTCATTTTGTGTTGCATTGCCTCTTCTATTCTGTTCCCCTCGAAGTTTTCATAGCACCCGCAGAGGTTAAATTAAAACTCAAACAAATGTACGAGAAGCTTTCTGATGTGTTTTCCTGGTCTCTCCAGCGATGTCTCTGAACCATCTCCAGACACACAGCACCGCAGCGGTCACGCAGCTGGGCTCCATGCTCTTCACCAGACAGGTGTCTGGAGCCAGGTGAGCTACTGTCCACACTGCCGCCTGTTTCTGTTTCAATATTTGTTGTCTTCTAATTTAACTTCAAAGGAAAAATGAGAAAAAGAATAGTGTATGTGAAGTCAGTCTCTTCAAGTTTAGATCGTGTTCAAGTAAATGTGACGAACTACATGCTCCACTAATGTTTGACAACCAGAAAGTGACTACATACTTAATTTTATGTCTATTGTAATATAATACATAACCTAACTAACTAACCTTTCATCTGGGTGGAATTTTGTGATACAGATGTGTGCTTGTTATCCTTTAAGATAAATGACAGCTTACATTTTACTTCCTTTAGTCTTTATACTAGATGACTGACTGAGTATTTTACATCCAAAATCAATATTTTCTCTTCTCTTAAAGAAATGGTTCAGCCAAAAATGAAAATTTGCTGAATGTATTCACCCTCAGGTCATCCAAGATCAGGATTTTTTTTGTTTGTTTCTTCATCAGATTTGGAGAAATGTAGCATTGCATCACTTGCTCAGCAATGGTGTGCTGCAGTGAATGGGTGCCGTCAGAATGAGAGTCCAAACAGCTGATAAAAACATCACAATAATCCACAAGTTTGAAATTTAAAATGTCTTAATGATGGATTTGTTTCTTACAAACATGCAGCTTTTCGCTTCACAAGACATTAACTGATGGACTGGAGTGGTGTGGATTACTTGTGGATTATTGTGATGTTTTTATCAGCTGTTTGGACTCTCATTCTGACGGCACCCATTCACTACAGAGCATCCATTGGTGAACAAGCGATGCTAAATTTCTCCAAATCTGATGAAGAAACAAACTCATCTACATCTTGGAATACCTGAGGGTGAGTACATTCAGCAAATTTTCGATTTTACATGAACTATTCCTTTAATATTTTCTGCTGGACACTAGGTGACCTGCTGTAATATTGATGAAACCTTCTTTCTACTGTCCGCTTTCATTATTTAAATTGAAGTCATTCTCATTCTCAAGGGTTTATCCTGTAGCATTAATCCTCTCCGCCTCCTTTTAGTCTGTCACAGCCTATGCACTCTGTCTGCAGTGAATAAATATGACGGGAGAATTTAAGACTGAACGAAGTGTCTGCCGTGGATTTGGAAAGAGCTGCATAAAACTCTGAACTGCTGGAAAATAACTGCTGTCTGTTTCAGCGTAATAGAGAGACTCTATTTGTCCTTTTTAGACTCTATTAATTGAGAACATTGTTTTCATTGTCCAAATGACATACCCTTTGATAAAGTACATCTTAGTTCGGTTTGTACACCGGATTGGCTGTGCATTCATCAGAAGTCTACTGTATTTTAAAGTAAAACTTTTCACATTATTACAAAGTGCACTTTTTAAAAGTGTACTTAAGTGTGTTAAGCTGTCATGAAAATGTCTCTCCCTGTACACTTCCATAATGTACTTAAAGTGCTCTATTTTTGCTCACTAATTTTGTACTTAATATACTAAAAATTCTTTAAATATTCATAATTCTTTAGATAATCTTAAGAACATCTAAGTGTACTCAACTGCGCTATTTTGGGACACCATGTATATGAATTAAAATGTGCTAAAAATGTATTTAAAAAATGTATTTAGGTACCACTTGAACCCATCTTTCATACAAAGATGGGTTCAAGTTTACTACAAGTGGTAACTAAATACATTTTTTTAATAGAGAGATAGTATGTTAAAAGCACATTTTAGTTCATATGCATGGTGTCTCAAAATAGCGCAGTTGAGTACACTTAGATGTTCTTAAGTTTATCTTAAGAAGTACTAAAGACGAATTATTAATATATTAAGTACAAAATTAGTGTGCGAAAATAGAGCACTTTAAGTACATTATGGAAGTGTACTGTCAAGTCACTTAAGTGGCCTTTTATTTCGTTAATATTATATTATCTGCAAGTCGTTTTTTTTTTAAATATGCTTTTAAGATTTGAAGTACACTACAAGTGCACATTCAATACAATTAAGCGCACTTCTTTTTCACAAGACTTAACATAAACAAAAGGCAGAAATGATTGAGATTTCTTGTTAATTCGTGTTAAATGTTGTTGCAGGGTCGTCCCGCTGGGTGTGGAGCAGACCGTGAGCGGACACACGTTTCGTGGCTTCATGTCGCACGCAGATGCCTATCCGTGCCCGTACCTTAACGCAGCCTCTGCTATTGGAATAACCAGAGATGATATAACACTGTGCATCAAGAGACTCGATAAATGCCTCAAGAGCCTTAGCAAAGAAGCTTCTGCAGAGAAGAGTGAGTCAGGATCGCCAGCTGAAGATGTGGACGACCAAACCGTGCCCTGATGCTCTACACTCTAAAAAATGCTGGGTTAAAAAGGGACAAACCCAGCTATTGGGTTGTTTTGACGGATCACCAGCTGAAGATGTGGACGACCAAACCGTGCCCTGATGCTCTCGGTGAAAGGGTTGGATACATAGGAATATTTTTTTCATAATTTGATCTTGTGGCAATAACCTTGTGTGTGAATGTTGATACATCAACATATAGCCACAAATGCATTTGTTTGTTTTCTGCATGCTCAATAAATGTGTTTTGACCTGTGTTTGATAGTGTACCCTAACTGACAATAAACACATTATTTTGTCATGTAAAGTCATCTGGCGCTGCTTTTTTTTTTTCACAGTCATTGGTTGAATAGACAATGCAGAGGGAATTGTTTGTTCTAAACAACATCAAAAGAATATAAAATATTTTTTATTACTGAATACGAAAAATTACTCTGATTTAATGTAATTCGCTCAGAATGCATCTTGATGTAGCAAAACCTGCAATGAGTACCTGCGATTTATTCATTTATTCTGATTTTACTAGGCACGTTCTCGTCTTAGGCACTTGGAGAAAAGCTAGTGCGAATAATGACTGCTCTTAAGATTAATAAAAATATTAAGCCGCATATTAATGCATTATGCTGCTAAATTTGAGTTAGACCTTGTAAGACTCCCATTAGATTGTTTACCTTTATTTATTAATTTATTTTCACGATGTGCTTCGCTTTAAACCATATTGCACAAATATTCGATTGTTTAAAAAATATATATATTATTTATACAGTGGGTACGGAAAGTATTCAGACCCCCTTAAATTTTTCACTCTTTGTTATATTGCAGCCATTTGCTAAAATCATTTAAGTTAATTTTTTTTCCTCATTAATGTACACACAGCACCCCATATTGACAGAAAAACACAGAATTGTTGACATTTTTGCAAATTTATTAAAAAAGAAAAACTGAAAAATGCTCAGTATTTAGTAGAAGCACCCATTTGATCTAATACAGCCATGAGTCTTTTTAGGAAAGATGCAACAAGTTTTTCACACATGGATTTGGGGATCCTCTGCCATTCCCTCTTGCAGATCCACTCATGAGGAAAAAAAATTAACTTAAATGATTTTAGCAAATGGCTGCAATATAACAAAGAGTGAAAAATTTAAGGGGGTCTGAATACTTTCCGTACCCACTGTATATTTTCTATTTATTGAAAAATAGCTTTAACTTTAGTTAGTTGTTTTTCAGGACATATTTGTTAAACAGTATTGCAAAAATGTGCACTTTAATTTAGTATTTAGTATATGTATGTGTTTATTTATTTTAAAATAGCAGATCATTTATTTTTCAGGTTTCTAAACTGTATTACAAATGTTACAAAAAATGTTTTTTTTTTTTTTTTCATACCTTTTTTTCGGGGGGGGGGGCGGTTTTCAGGACACATTTGATTTGAAAAAGTATAAAATACTAAATTTTAATTTCTTTATTTTGAAAATAGCTGATTATTTATTTTAAGGACTTTATTTATTTATTTTTAAATTAAGAGAATTTCTACTACATACTACCATTCCATTCAATAGAAATAAATCCATTAAATTGTATCAGCATTTCCTATTCCTGCCCTACCTTCAGGTGAGCATATTTTCCTTTTTTTTTTTTTTTTTTAAGAATGGTCATAAAGCTGTACAGTGCTCACAAAGTGCTCACTTTCAGAGGAGCGTGTAAAGTGCTAGCTCAGCAACACAATAGTGCAGCGTTTTTAATAACATCTGTTGTGTGACGTAGCAGAGGAAGGTGCACAGTCTCTGTTTTCGCGTGAGAGGTGTTGAATCAGCTTTGCTCACACCTCACTGTAATGCATTTAATGTGCACTCCAGCAGCATTTCTGCTCATGATTTATGTGGGATCAGCCTCTGCTGTTCTCTGCAAACCTTCTGTCTCAGTGCTCTACCTTCACACATCTCTCCTGCGCTCCATATCCATCTGTTCAACAAGCTTAGTCTCTTAGTAATAATCTCTCCTCTTACTGTTTATCTCACTGTTTTGCTGATGCACATTTTTCCAACCACTTAGGCTGCACTTATTCATTTCCTCTCATCATCAATCATGCGTGTTGATGACTTTGCTCTTAAAGCATCAGCACAGATTAGCCTATACATTTTTTTGTATAGGCATTTTTTCCCCCCACTAATTGTATTGTTATCGTCTTAAAAAAAAAAAAAAAATTAAACGCACACTGATTGAGATTAAATGGTAATATTGTGTTCATTAGGTTGGTTTGTTTCTAGCCTTTTTTGAGTAAACGAATGAAAAATATAGGCAGCTAAAAAAAAGAAAAAAACACAACTGTGCAAATGGCTTTAAAACTTCTAAAACTCTAGAACTTTGCAAATCCGTTTATCTCCAACATAAAAGATAATTCTAAAAGACAGCTCCAGATGCTTTACTCTTAATGCTTTTACTCACTCATCAGTATCTGAGGATCGTGTCTCATTACCTACTTTAGCTTCAAGAGTTTTGAAAGCAATAATAAAGCAATCTGCTGACAATAACACGCTTCCTTTCATCTTTGTGTTTTCTACACAGTTACGGTTAAAGAATACATTGTTTTAAATAGATGTTATAATTCTGACAATGTGACAACAGCGAGACGGTCAAACTGCCAAAGACCCCACATGAAGTTTTTTGTGGCTTTGTACTAGTTAACAAAATTAAATTTTAACTCATATTCTAAAACCCCTCCTTTTTTAGTATTAGAAACTAATAAATAAAAATTTAATAATTAAATAACTAATTAATAGTAATAATTGCATTAATAATAAATACAAATTAATTTTAATAATTAAAGTAACTAAATAACCAATAGTGATTAATATTGAGATTTTTGTCGCATACTGTAAAAAAAATTATTTTTCAAAGTTGTAAATAAAACCGATTGCTGGAGTGTATTTTAGAGGTAAATTTCAGTCTTTCTACTTCAAAATTTCCTGCGTAATTTAATGTTACTTAATTTATTTGTAATTCTTTGTGAAATTTGCCATTTCTGATTGAAAATTGTTTCACTGCCATTTTTTTTTCCACTGTACCTTTTTTTTTTTTTAAAGGGAACAAAATAAATATATAGTAAAGCTATATGCAGTTCTCTAAATGCAGTCATTTATAATCAATAAAATAAACATAGCATGTAATATTTCCGAAGAGAGAAAAAAATACAGTTTGGCAACACATTTGACAGTACTTTTGTATTTTCATTGTTTTAAATAATAATAAAAAAAACAACAATGTATTTTAAATCATTTGTAATGTTCACGGTTGCATTTATACTCGCAATAAGTAGCTGTATTTCTGGCTATATTTGATTCAGACCGTAGCAAAAATAATATAGTCAGAAATATAACAGATTGTGTTTATGGTTGTAAGGTTATTGCCTTTTTTTTTTTTTTTAATGAACAGCTTCTGCCTCAAGATCCTGTTTAATGCAGGAAATGCATCAACACAGGAAATTAAAACTGCACTGCATGTGATTTCATGTGGACTTTAATGATGCTCCTTAAAATCTACAAGAGAAAAGAAAAGTCTCTCCGTTCTCTAAAATGGAAGAGGCATTTTCTTTATTTGTATCAGAAGGAATGCATGTATTTCAGGATTCCTGACTGCATATTTGCTATATAGTGTATAGTGCTATATAGGCTGTTTAACCAGCATCCACCGTTATTGGGCGCCCTAATAAATAAATAAATAAGTCGCGAGAGGAGAGAGCTGCTGATGTCAGGAGCTTCAGTGCTGCATTTACTGCTGCAGAGAGGATGAGCATCTCCGGATTCACACATGCGAGCCCGACGAGCAACATGCGGACTGTCGCGATTATATCGGCGCTGGTATTATGCCTGGCCTCGTTGGGCAACGCGGGGAAAAAGGTTTTTAAATGTCCTTCCTCGTGTAGCTGCTCCAAGGAGTCTATTATCTGCGTCGGGTCTTCGTATATCCCCAGATTCATTCCCAACGATGTCAGTTCACTGTGAGTCCTCATAAGCTAATGCATTAGATCAGTTAGTAGGCTACACTTGTGTAAATATAGCATTTCAGGACCAGTGCTGCTCATGTTCAGTCATATTGCTTTTATATTTCCATGTAACAGGGTCTCATTTTGTGTCGGGCTTGTATTTAATTTTTTTGCATTTTGCAGGAGTATTGTGAATGGGACCTTCTCTGAGATCAAGGAGGCGATGTTCTCACACATGCCATCTTTACAGTTACTGTAAGTCAAGCCCATCTAAGCAAATGTGTATGGCATGATATCGATTCACTTTGGAAACTGTGCTTCTTGTAAACTTTGCATTTGTAGAAGAATTGGTAGATCTGATCATGTTTCATAGTAGAACATTGCTCTGGGGTTTTCACTTATATTCGCAGTAAATTAAAATCTTCTCATTTTTCATTTATATTAAAGATTGTTTTGATAGATTTACATGTGCATGGTATTGCATAAAGAAAACGGCTACCAAATCAGGCCAAGTCTACCAAAATATCTACCAAAAACTGTCCAGTTTTGCACAGTTGACCCTGCTAGCGTTGGATAACCTCAAAAACAGACTGCTTTCTGGATTAAATGAGCTATCCAATGTTAGATCAGAGAATATTTTGGCATGCACAATAATGCTTTCAGCTATTTGAGTAGGAATCTTGTTGATTTAGAGGCATATTGAAGAATTTATTAACACGTTTTGTCTTCAGTTATTTAGCACTGGAATCCGGTGTACTCCTCAACTAAACAGTAGAAGGTGACAGATGACGAATAGAAAGGCCTCTTTCACTCACTCGCCCCTCTAGCTATTTAATAAGTCAGGGCACATTTGCTTCCAGATAGTGACGGACGGTTTTCCTCCTGTTCGCTTTTTGGCATTGAGAACACAGTGACTCTGTGACTTTTTCATGCTGTCCTTGGCGTATTGCAGGATGTTTGCGATTTGATATTTTGAGAAATAGAGTGTTATAGAGAAATATGTGCCTGTCCTGGCACTCATTGTCAGTGAGAGGGCACTTTTTTATCTATGTGTATTACACTGCAGTGTAAACACACAGCCTGACTTGTTATAATTTCACTGACAGTGATTGTTGGCAATGATTGAACTCTTGACAGGTTGCTGAACTCCAATGCTCTCACCACAATAAGGGATGATGCATTTTCTGGCCTTCCGCACCTCGAGTACCTGTATGTTTTCTTTAATTGTTATTTTATTCTTTTAAAAAACGTTATAGATAGTCTATTGCAGTGCTGTTGCTATAGCTTTTTGACACTGCTGGGTTGTTCAACCCAACTTTGGGTCAAATATGGACTAAGCCAACCGTTGGGTTAAATTTTTACATTAGATTTTTAACCCAAAAGTTGGGTTAGTCCATATTTGACACAAAGTTGGGTTGAAACAACCCAGCATTTTTTAGAGTGTATAGAAATGGAAGGTCTACTTGTTTTTAAAGCAATAGTTCACCAAAGAATTACAATTTGCAGAAAATTTACTCAACCACCCAAGATATAGATGACTTTGTTTCTTCATGGGAACAGATTTGGAGAAATTTAGCCTAACATCTATTGCTCACCAATGGATCCTCTGCAGTGAATGGGTGCCGTCAGAATGAGAGTCAAATCCACAACACTCCAGGACCAGTCCATCAGTTAACATCTTGTGAAGAGAAAAGCTGCATGTTTGTAAGAAACAAATCCATCATTAAGCTTCTTACTTCCAGCAAAATTATGAGTCCTCTAACATTGCTTTCTCCAGTTAAAACGTCGTCTCGTCTGAATCAGGAGAGAAATATGCACAGATCAAGCACCGTTAACAGGTGAAAACAGCTCTAAACAAATATGTTATATGGTGGATTTTGATGTGAGAGGACAAAAATAGACTTTTTCACTGGAAGAGGTGTTATTATGGACTCATATTTTTGCCAGAAGCGACAAATTAAACTTAAAACACCTTAATGATGGATTTGTTTCTTGCAAACATGCAGCTTTTTGCTTCACAAGACATTATCTGATGGACTGTGATGTTTTTATCAGCTGTTTGGACTCTCATTCTGACGGCACCCATTCACTGCAGAGCATCCATTGCTGAGACACTGATGCAATGCTACATTTCTCCAAATCTGATGAAGAAACAAACTCATCTACATATTGGATGGTACATCTTTAAGTAAACTCTTTATTCGAGAGAAAAATATATTGGGAAGCTGTGAGTTTTGAACAATTGCATATTGGAGATATGCACACATTCTTTGAACATATGAATGTGTCATTCTAACTTAATTCTATACATATTTAATTGAAATGTATTTAATTTTCTTAAGTAATTCTTTTAATACTTTAACGGTTGTTTGGTTTCTAATAGTTGCTTGAGTTATAATCATCCTGGTTCCTTTTCATGTCACCATCTTTTACTCTTTCAGCTCTTAATTTTCTCTCCGTTCTTTAGGTTTATAGAAAACAACAAGATTGAGACAACATCAAAATACTCTTTCAGAGGACTTAGGGATTTGACTCATCTGTACGTTATTTTTAATTATATTAAATGAACATACATTTGCTAATTATTTGTATGGTACTTTACTCTAAACTGTTACTGTATCCCTCACAGGTCTTTGGCAAACAACAACATTAAAGCTTTGCCCAGAGATCTATTCATCGATCTGGACTCATTGATAGAGCTGTGAGTCTGAGCTTCTGTAAATGCTTACTTAGCGATAACTATTATGCAATAGAGTGCATTGAATATGATATGATAAAATGTCTTTTTAAGCCTACAGGAATGAACACTATATAATAAGGTCAATGCTTATTGATGTTTTCATATATATTTCCTTGCAGAGACTTGAGGGGCAATGTCTTTGAGTGTGACTGCCGAGCGAAGTGGCTGATGATGTGGCTGAAGAGCACGAACGCTACTGTATCAGACGTCCTCTGTGCCGGTCCTGAGGAGATGAAGGGCAAACGGCTCAATGACATGGCGAGCTTGCATAACGAATGCATCTCTACAGGTATGTGAATGAGCATGTGCATGCTTGGTAGTGTGTTTGTAAGCTTACAAATCCAATTCAGTGCATTTTTTATAGCTATTTACCAGTACATTGAAACAATTTGGTAAAAATAATTCTTAATGACGACATGAAATGAATTCACCACATCTGTTTTCTAAATGCATGCTATAGATCTTATTGTGAACAATTAATCCATGCATACGTTTATTTTATTTTTTTTTTAATTGAAACTGGATCTTTTAGTGAAATGACTTCTCTCTGGTGACGTATGCAGGACTTAACCTCTGCTTAACCTCACTCCTGCAAGCTCACACTCATCTGCCTCCACTTTTGAGTGCAACATCCACATCTGAAACTCCAATCAACAACCGATGCGTAGAACCAAGTCCTGCCGTACATTTTTTTCTATATGGAAGTAAAAGGAAGAAAACATCTGTTGCTATTCACTCTTAAAAATAAACGTTGAAATGGGGCTTTCACGGCAGTGCCATAGAAGAACCATTCTTGGTTTCCTCAAAGAATCTTTCATTGAACAGTTCTAAAAAAGAACCATTTTTTATTAGTGCGAAGAACATTTTTAAGAATCTAAAGAACCTTTTCCACTATAAAGAATTGAAAAGTTCCATGGATGTTAGAAGTTCTTCATGGAACCATCAATGCCAATAGAGAACCTTTATTTTTAAGAGTTTAATTCCATGTCAACTTTAAAATCCGGGACACACCGTGCTGAGCGTCTGTTGGGCTAGTTTTTGCAGTGTGTTCCACATATCATGCAGCATATCAGTTATGAGATGCAAAACAGTTACTAAGATGCAAATTTACCATATGTTGTCCAGATTTCATTCCTCTTCACTCTGTGTCTACTGAGTCTTTGTCTGTGGACACGTTCTCCCACAAGAACGACGTGTACGTGGCCATCGCTGCTCCCAACATAGAGAGCTGCATGGTGCTCCAATGGGACCACATCGAGATGAACTTCAGGAGTTACGACAACATCACAGGTACAGTCATGGTAAAGCCATCATATGAAGGATTGCGTATGGCCAAATAAATCTCATACAATGTGTTCTCTTTTAGGTCAGTCCATAGTTGGCTGCAAGTCTGTGATCATCCAGAACCAGGTGTTTGGTTTTGAAAACAAGTGCGTTAAAATAAGAACCTCATTTTCATAGTTTTGCAAACTGGGATACAGAGAAAAGAACAACACAACCCTAAATAATGACTGCAGCCTGCAAAAGCATGATATTCAGCTATTAATATTCAATAAGTCTTATAAAAAATCAATAAACAACAACTCTTACTTGACCATATAATGTCTGCCCATTCATACCAGTTTTAGCTTAATCTGATACGCAAAAATAGAATTTTCATTTTGTAAATCATTGTTCTTATTCTCATTTGTTGAATGTTGGACATGTTTTTTGAATACTAATGTTAATAAATGCGTGTGAACACTGACTATCATTTGATTATTTAATTCATAACACACCTGGTTTCTGACCAAATGCACAGTTTTGAAAGAATGGAGAAATTAAGATGGTTAGCCACCTTGGAAAGGGGGTGATTTTGATATGATCAAAGTGACATTGAATAACATTACAGGGTAAAGATAAATCGATTGGATTGGCCACAGACGTGTAGAATTAGCCTAGTACATTTTCATACACTGAGCAATCGTCAGCTCGTTTTAGGATGCAATTTAAACTAGGCATACTGTAGCATCAACTGTTTATTAGCTACAGCCAGGCCCGGATTGGCTAATCGGGAGCACCGGGAGGATTCCCGGTGGAGGAGATGTGTTTTTAGCTGTTTCTTGAAGATAGCTAAGGACTCAGCTGCTCGAATTGAGTTGGGCAGGTCATTCCACCAGGAGGGAACAGTTTATGTAGAAAAAAAAGCCTAATTAAGATTATATATGATTATGAAAATTTATGAATTAATCAATGATCATCGTGTATCATCCAGGTACAGTGCAACACATGGTCAAAGAACAGATGACAGAGAATAACATCAGTGTAGGTTGCAAAATGTTTATTAGGCCACTGATATGGTGGTGAATGTTATTTCATTCATTGCCAGAAGATGACAGTTTTAAAACTTAAAAGGTAACAGAAGAAACAGAAGAGAAATAATTGAAATGGTAGTTGGATCTGCGTGCTACTATTGGAAACCTGTGTAGCTGTAATAGCTGTAATCTTCTGGGATTTTTGGTTTCACTGTGCAAATGGAACCATAAACCTTGTGATAATCTTAATTGGTAAATTTACATTTGTTTGTAAAGATGTTTAACTATTTTACATTGGAAACATGAAAAAAAAAAAAAAAGTTTTTTACAGCAGTGTATGATTGTATCATAGTTTACAACCAAACAGCAGACAATTCACAACCAGACAACATGGAGAATGTTGAACGGGGTGTCTCATGATCCTTCAGAGATCATTCTAATATGCTGATTGTCTGCACAAGAAACATTTCTGATTATTATCACAGTTGAAAATTGTTGTACTGCTTAATGAAGTGTGGAAACCATTATACAGCGACAGGATTCCTTGATGAATGGAAAGTTCAGAAGAACAGCATTTATTTGAAATATAAATCTTTTTTTTTTACATTATAAATGTCTTTACTGTCATTTTTATTAAATTGATGCATTCTTGAAGAGCAAAAATATACATTTCTTAAAAATAAAAAAAATAATTCATAGTAATCCTAAACTTTTGAATGTTAATGTCATGTATCAAATGCCAGAATCAAGTGAAGAATTTGTTTTTTAGCTTTATTATGTCCTATTTTTATACAGCAGATTCTACAAGGACGTTAACATCACACTCTCTTGTATCCTATGTTGTCTTGTTTTGGTGCATAAATCTTTTTAGTTTGTAACAAGGATTCAATAGTGATTCATGCTCAAAATTCAGGAAAACTTTACTTTATTAATGGCATCCTCCATGACTAACATTTTCCTGGATTTTGAGTGTGAATCACTATTGAATTCATATTTTTAAAAACAAAATGTCACTGTCTCACATAATATCAAACATTCACACCAACACACATACACCACAAAAAGAAAACAAGTAGATAGAATAGAAAAAGAATAGAGAAAGCTAGTGTTAGAGGCCTTTTTTTAAAGAAAATAAGCAGTTGGAAAACGAATAGAGAGTGCATGTGTTAGAGGGTCAAATATAGATGGAAGAGATGTGTTTTTAGCTGTTTCTTGAAGATGGCTAAGGACTCAGCTGCTCGAATTGAGTTGGGCAGGTCATTCCACCAGGAGGGAACAGTTTATGTAGAAAAAAAGCCTAATTAAGATTATATATGTTTATGAAACTTTATGACTTGGCCTATAAATAATGTTGCATGAGTGTTTGTTGTGCATCAAAATAGACCATGCATTTGTATCAATGATCATCGTGTATCATCCAGGTACAGTGCAACACATGGTCAAAGAACAGATGACACAGAATAACATCAGTGTAGGTTGCAAAATGTTTATTAGGCCACTGATATGGTGGTGAATGTTATTTCATTCATTGCCAGAAGATGACAGTTTTAAAACTTAAAAGGTAACAGAAGAGCATAAAAATAAATAATTGAAATGGTAGTTGGATCTGCGCTACTATTGGAAACCTGTAGCTGTAATCATCCAGGTGTTCTGGGATTTTTGGTTTCACTGTGCAAATGGAACCATAAACCTTGTGATAATCTTAATTGGTAAATTTACATTTGTTTGTAAAGATGTTTAACTATTTTACATTGGAAACATGAAAAAAAGAAAGAAATTTCAGCAACATGTTTTTGCAGCAGTGTATGATTGTATCATAGTTTACAACCAGACAGCAGACAATTCACAACATGGAGAATGTTGAACGGGGTAAGTTAAGACATGGATCATCACACCAGTATACAAAAAAATAATAATAATATGTCCACAGATACGTTTATTTCATTTGTTTCAGGCAGTGATGTATTCAACAAATGATAACCACTAATAACAGACACCGTTTTAAAGTATCGCAAGCTACAAATGAAGGGCACAAAGAACTGAAATCAATGTATAGGCTACAACTAGCTGAAGTTTGCTGTGCTTTATCCTAACACTACACAAAGAATGCCTGCAATCATTCAGTCAGGGACGACTGCACAAAACGTGCACTGTAAACTAAAAAAAACATTATAAACTGTTAGGAAATTATAAACAAATATAGTTTGTGCAACACTGTAAATATATTTACCTTTTCTGCACTCATAGCAGCCCCACACTTTTTATTTATTATTTTCTCGCAGCCCATACTATTATTTTCACTAGACTATGTCAATAACAAAGTCTCAATTGATAATTAATAATTATTTTTGCGCAAATCATTGTTTTATTTGTGAAGAAGCCGTTGAAAGAAGGCTTTAAGACCAAGCGGAATCCTCTGCCGGATGCTCCCGCTTCACAACGAGCGGGACTCGCGCTGACCGCAATTCCCTTCACCGTCCGAGTTTTGATTTTGCCAAATCGGTTTGGGCCAATGCAAACAACTTATTGATCACGAGCCCAACATCCAGCAAGGCAGGAAAACATTCAATCTACCTAAGGGAAGACGTCTTTCATTGTAAGTTAATGCTGTTAAATAGAGAGAGAGAAAAATTAATTTACTTTTTTTTTTTTAAGTATTCTTAAACGTGGACCTCATTATTGAAGTACAAATCCAAGCACCAGAAGCAGCCCACACGCTCTTAAGTTTTCTTTAATTGACAAATATGCATTTTCATTCATTCAAAGGCTATATGGTTGTAATGATATTTTAGTTTAAAACTTTAAGTGCCATTGTTAAAAATGCTTTATTGACTGACATACGTTTCATCAGTTGTTAGCTTTCAAATTTCATGCCATTTGTAATTTTACAGTATTTTCACCTCCTAAATTATATACACTTGTGATTTGTGAAGTCACATCTATATTGGTACAATTTACTTCATTGCTGATGACATTTTTTGTATGACATAAAAATTATTTTTAGAATAATTGTACACAGATTAAGCAAAACAATTGTGATTACAGCCTACAATTATGGTACAGTACAAATACTTGGAGCGTCCCTTATTCTGTCCCTTATTTTCTTAAAGAATAAAATATAAAGAATCACAATTGTCCCTTTTTTTCCATTTCTGAAGTGATGACATTTTTTGTATGACATTAAAATTATTTTTAGAATAATTGTACACAAATTAAGCAAAACAATTGTGATTATTTCGGAGAACTTTTTACCTGCATGCAGACAGCCTACATTATGGTACAGTACAAATATTTGGAGCGTCCCTTATTCTGTCCCTTATTTTCTTAAAGAATAAACACTTATTTTCTACAAGAAAACAAGAACAAACACTATTTTATTAAAGAATAAAAGATTGTCAATTGTTCACAATTGTCCCTTTTTTCCATTTCTGAAGTTAATTGGCAACCCTAATGATTACGTAATTATCTTATTCCCCTGACAGCGGCACCTTGCTAAAAAAAATTTTTAAAAAAAATAATAGTCAGTTGTTGGAGATATGCGAGAAAAACAATTATAAATCAAAGAAAATGCATAATAGAAAGCGCAAAAGGTGGCACTGAAAAGGCCAGTACAAAAAAAACCTACAAGAATAAGTGGGCCGGTCTAAGGCATGAAACTCCAGGGCTGAAAATGAGTCCCACTCCGGCCCTGGCTACAGCACAACACCTTTCAGTGGTTTCTTACACAACCTTTTTTTTTTCTAAAGTAGGTGTGGGGTGGATGACGGGTAGTGTGTAAGAACAAGGAAGTTATAGCACTTACCTTTGTATCAAGATCAATATCAACGACGCAGATACCAATACGATAGGCCTGAATGGAAAGTCTGTGTGATATCTGGGAATAAAATAGGTAATTATAACCATCTAACATGCTATTTGTCAGCCGTAATTTTTAGCATTTAATCAGACTTTTGAGGCATTTATCAATAGCAATCATATATCATTGCCAGTCTTTTACAACTTTAAATGTAATCACAAAGTCACACAAACGAGTTTGTCACATTCGTGGCTTTTTAATGTAAAACGACTCTGGATAACATTACTTTCTATCTTACTGAACGAGCGCGCAGACTGCACAGGTACTTGTAGGAAGCGTGTTTAGACGTGCATGAGAATCCTTTCTCTTCTAACGTTGTGAAATGCATTTTCCTGGTACAGAAACTATACAAATTACTAGTTTAAAGGGGTCATATGATGGTGCTAAAAAGAACATTATTTGGTGTAATGAAATGTGTTTATGCGGTTTAAGGTTAAAAAAACACATTTTCCACATACTGTACATTATTCATATGACCCCTTTAAACACTTTAGATGTATACTATGAAGGTAGAATGATGTCAAAAAGATTTGCATACGCAGGGTAATATTTGTGGAAGTGTACATAAGACTGTAAGCGTAAATTAAATTTGCATGCGCAAGAGAAGCTTTGTCTCTAACTTATTCAGCATTTATCATCTGTAATACTATCGTGTAACCACGAGATGGCTGTTTAGCTCTCTTTATATAAACATATAAACATGACTGTGTTCCTGTAGTGGCTAGGAATTTTGGATTCCCACATAATTAGTTACTTGTATTTGGATATATATTTAGACATTATTAAAGACATATTTATCAAAGTTTTTGCATTAGTCAAATCTGGACACAAAGAAAGCATTTTGTTACTCATTCTTGCTTCATATAATAGCTTGATCAGTCACATGAAAGTAATCAGTGTTAAATACCATAAACAGAAACATGGTCTGAAAATTTGACAAATTCATATTTAAGTAGGTTTATTGTCATAGTAAAAAAGGTTTTACAAAGTATAGCACTCTGATACCTTAGTGTTGAGCATTGTCACATAGCATAATTTTGATTATACAGTTTAACATCAGCTCAGTGGTGTAAGTAGATTATGACATTTCAATGTAAAGCCAAACCAAATAATGTTAACACCAGCTCGCAATTCAGTATGAACACCTTTACACCTTAAATACACCATAAGGATTATTGTATAAAAGTTTTCACCCCCTCAATGAAAATCTATGGGATTTTAGGTGGTTTTGATAGTCTGGTTTATGAAAACCGTAAGCCGGATCAGTTTGAAAAGATATAGCAACCCGAGTCAGACCAGTCTGAAGGACAATGCTTGCAAGTCACCTACTCATTTGACCAAAGCTAGGGCCAAAAGCAGAGTGGTTTTGAGTGTCATGACCCGTAAGCCAGCTGTTTGAAGCGGCTCGAAGGGAGGGCCCATGAGGGCCCTTAGGACTAAATACAAGTCCCACATCAGCACAGTCCTAGGGCAAGGCGGGTTCAACCTCCGAGCACCTTTTAGGAACTTAACGACCAAGTCGTTTCTGCTGATTGTCCGGCCAGCCACGAGAGAATGGTTCGCCACGATGGCTTCCACATAGACTTCCACATAGTGTGGATGGGGTGTGCCCCTTATCCAACAGCTCTTGAAGAAAGGTTAACACGTGGGACACATCACATGAATTTGGGTCCTGGCTTCGTTCTGAACACCAGTCACAGAAGACGGAGCTCTAACCTCTGAAATGGTATTGGTGACTCTCGTGTGGACCTGGCTAGACTCCTGTCGAGGGGCCAGACATGGAAGCTCCACAGCTCTGGGTGGGGATGCCAAATTTTGCCCTGCGCTTGCGAGAGAAGGTCTCTCCTCAGCGGTATCGGCCACGGGGTTGCTGACAGCAGCTGAATCATCTCCAGGAACCAAGCTTGGTTCCTCAAGCGTGGGGCCACCAGGAGGAGAGAACATTTAGTTTCCCTAACTTGCCTGATAACCAGAGGGAGAAGAGCAATCAGAGGGAATGCATAGATATGGGTGTTGGGCTAATCGTGGGCAAGAGCATCCAACTGTGTTGAGAAATAGATTGGGCAGTGACAGTTGTCTTCGGAGGCGAAGAGGTCCACCTCTGCCTTGCCGAAGACTGACCAAATCATCTGAACTGATTGGGGATGTAGTCTCCACTCTCCTGGTGCTACATTGTCCCTGGACAGCATGTCCACTCCTTGGTTCAGCTTGCCCGACACATGATGCCACGGCATTGCTTGTGGATTGCCTTCGTACAGAGCTCCCCAGCCCGAGCTGGAGGCATCCGTTTTGACCACCTTCCTCCTGGAGGTCGTTCCCAACTATACGCTTGATAAAAACAGGTGAGGTGTTGTCCAAGGGGCCACAGCTTTGACGCAGTGATGGGTTACCCTGACATATTGTCGGCCCAGGCACCAGGCGTGGGATGGTACGTGAGTTTTCAGCCAATATTGGAGGGGCGGCATATGTAGCAAGCCCAGAGGAATAACTGATGAGGTGGCTGCCATGAGGCTGAGCATCATCTGAAATACCCTGAGGGGACGTGCAGTCTCTAGTTTGAATGATGCCGCCACTCGATGTATGCTCAGGGAGCGTTCCGGCGAAATCCACGCTCGCGTTAGTACTGAGTCTATAACTGTTCCCAGAAAGGAGACGCATTGTCTGGGAGTGAGAAAACTTTTGGTTGAATTGATTCTCAACCCAAGACGCTCCAGATGGTTGAGCAACAACGATCTGTGAGCGATAAGTTCCCGTTCTGACCTGGCTAGTACTAAGCAGTCATCGAGGTAGTTCAAAATGCGGATTCCCATCTGTCTCAGAGGGGAAAGAGCAACATCCACACACTTTGTAAAACGGCCGTTTCATGAGAGCACGATTCAGACTTCGAGATCGAGAATTGGTCTGAGCCCACCATCTTTCTTGGGAGCGGCTGTGAAAACCCCACTCGCTGTCCGTTAAGGGGACCCGTTCTATAGCACCCTTCACAAGCAGTGTATTTACTTCGGACCAAAGAACATGTGCTTCATTGTCCAGTACTGAAGTCCGAACAACGCCTCTGAAGCGAGGTGGCCTGCGAGCGAACTGAAGCGAGTACCCTTGTTCTATGACTTTTAGAATCCAACTTGACACGCTGGGAATGGCTCTCCATGCCAAGAGCCGGGTGGCAAGCGGTTCTATATTCACTAGTGGCAGATCGCTGTGTGGGGAAGCGGAGCTGACACTTGTGGTTATAGGGAGAGGAGAAATGCTCTTTTGAGCATATGGGTCAGCTATTGCAGCAGTAGTTTGTTGGGACACACGCTGAGCGTGCAGGACGTGTCCCGCTGAAAAAACTCCACTGCTCGGAAGGATTAGAAGAAGTGGGGAATGATCGCGAGCTTTCTTTGAGGGAGTTCCAGCCTGGGTGACAACTAGCCCTCTCCTCTTCCTCTCTGCTCTCTGATCAGGACGGCTTCTGATACTGTGGGTCCAGCACTACGCGAGGGCGAGGACCTTGACGCTTTGGGAAGGGGTACTTACTGGCTGCTGGGCGCTGTTGAAGCCCAGGCTTCGGCTTTGGCGGGGGCTGAGGCGGTGCAGGCTTGGCAGACTGCTGGGTGATCGCAGTCTTGGAACGACTTTTAACAGCCGCTGAGCTAGGGCGGAAAATGACGCAGCACTTGCGACGTCTTTTGAACCTCTGTAAAATGCTCTGTGATCCTGTCTACGGCAGGCCCGAACAGTCTCTTTGGCGAGACTGGGGAGTCAAGGAAGGCCATCTTCTCGGTGTCCCTTATCTCCGTGAGGTTGAGCCATAGGTGGTGCTCCAGCACCACCAGACTGGCTATGGCCTTGCCATATCACGGAGAAGTTTGGCCTGAATTACCTGGAGCACCGACATCACATGCATGGCTGAGCCGGCCTGGCCAGCTGCTGCATAAGCCCTATTGGTCAAGGAGGACGTCAACCTGCAGGGCTTAGATGGATCCGCAGTCTTGAGACCTCTAGTAGATGGTGGGCAGAGATGTGCAGCCACCGCCTCATCGAGAGAGGGGAGCTTGCTGTAGCCTTTCTCTTCAGCACCGTCAACGTTGGTGAAACCAGCTGTAGTAGAAGGGTTAACACGCACCAAGTACGGAGCCTGCCATGTTTTAGTGAGCTCGTCGTGGACTGCAGGCATAAACGGAGCTGGCCGCTGTCGTGAGGATGGTTGACGATGTCTCTTTAAGAACCACTCGTCGAGGAAGCCAGGGGCGGGCTCTTCTGAGGCCACCCAATCAAGGCAGAGTTCCTCCACAGCCCTTGTCAGAACCTGGACAAGTTCTGAGTCCACGCTCAGCCGTGTAGACAGAGCTCGGACTTTGGGATCTTTGCCGGAAGCCCCCCACTCTTCAGCATCGGACGCCGTTAAGGACATCGAGTCGTCGACAGCAACCTCTTCCTCAGACATGCCAAAAGAAACCAAGCCGCTCGCACGGACATTGTTCTTCCCATGTCAAACACACCGGTGAGACGAGGCGTTTTGAGGAGAGCGAAGCTTGCAGCACTGAGCCGACTTGAGTTCACTCTAACCCGATGGATGAGACCTGCTGCTCCGCTGTTTCTTCCTCTTCTGTGAGAAAGAAAATGGGAGAGCAGAGCGGAAAGGACCACCTGGAAGAAGGCGATCCGTGAGCGAAGACAGGTGAAACTCATGTTCTCGCAATAAGAACATGAGCCATCAGCAAGCATAGCCTTTGCGTGGGTACTGTCCAGACAAGTGACGCACTCACTGTGCCCATCTGACTCATGCAAGAGGTCCTTGCACGAGCTGCACTCGTGGCGCGATATTTGAAACAATTTCGCAAAATTTGCTCTTTTGGAAATTTGCTCTTGCTCCGGGGAGTGCCGGATGGCCGCAGGGGAAGGCTCTCTTCCGCTGCCGGGGCCCTTCAATGGTGGTGAGCAGGTGAGCGCTTTCCTTCTTCTTCGGCTTCGTCGGCTTCTTCGGCGTAGGGACAGCGAAGAGATGGTCTCATCGCTGAAGGAGAAGATTCTGATGAAATGGCATCTGAAAAAGTTCTTCAGCTCAGTTCCACAGATCTGATTATTGTATTTTTGGTTTCAGTATGTACATTGATTCTACATCATGAATGAGTTTAAACGTAGGGATAAATGTAAGATTTGATGAGCTGAGATTCATTGTTTTCATGACATGAGGCCCTGACAGCTGAAAAACACTGACACTTGTGGCAAAATATACCAAAATGTGTACCAAGAGTATGTAGTACATTTTTAAACTGGCGAATTTGTTTAATTTCAGATATTGATTTACCTTGTGGAAAAATATGTAGATGTTACAGAGCTTCCTCATGGCAGTACTAAATAAAAACAACAAAAATGATCACACTTCATAAAAATTATAAACATCTTACAGATTCTACACTCTAAAAATGCTGGGTTAAAAACAGCCATTTCTGGCTTTGGCAACTAAGTGCTGGGTAAATATTGGACAGAACACATGCTGGGTTATTTTAACGCAGCTTGCTGGGTTTTATACATTAACCCATTTGCTGGTTGTTGTTTTTTTGGACATAGTGCTGCTGGGTTCCCAAACGATTAAACGTTGTAATTAAAAGGAAAGTAGATGTGACAGAGTGTTAAACATGCCTCTGTCCCAACTTTTTTGGCGTGTGTTGCTGCCATCAAAATAATTTATATATTGTTGCGGGGTGAATGAGAACACAGACTCGGTACTGATAGAAAGAGCCCCCCCGGAGGGTGATTTATTGCCCACACACTGATCACACGTGCTCGGAGGAATGGTGCTCGGTGCCAGTCTCAACGTGGTGCTCGTGGGGTGAAGTGCCGGGGTGCAGATCCCTCTCCTGGGGTGCCGTCGGAGTCTGTGAATAAGGATAAACAAGCATTAATGTCGCCTGGCGCTCCGGTGTGCCTTTCCGCTGGTGTCTCTGCTCCTGGCTTTTATGGCCAGCGGGAACGAGCTCCAGGTGCGCCACTCATCACGCACAGGTGTTGTGCTTCTGTGATCAGTGTGGCAGCGGCGTTTCCAGGGCGACGCTGATCTGGAACCGGGATACTCGCCACA